ATTCGCCTCGGCGCACTCAGTGGTGAGTTGTTCTGGTGTTTCCCCATTTTCCCCACAGAATTTCGATTCGCCATTGTTTCTTAGCTTGAATCTATCGAGGTTAGCTTGAATCTATTGAAGAGACGGTGTCCTGGTTAAAAACACCATGACAATCCGAAGATTGTGATTGTAAATAAAGGGAAATCTTTGATCTTTTCTGGTTGCAAGTCCTAAAAAAAATTTCGAGTGTCTTAGAGACTCTTGGAGGATTACCATTTCAGATTATGGATGGACGCTTCCAGTTTCTTGAGTTCCGCTGTAAGTCGGTTTTCACTTGGGAAGCAGAACGGTTCTGGTCTAGTTAGTTCTGGTCTTTTTCATTACCTTCTGTCCCTTGGTCGGCTGTCACCCAGAGTAGGAGAACTTTATTTTCTTTGCCTAATTTGTTCTGCTTAAAGTAAGCACTAATCGCTGCCCTAAAATTTTCCCGACTAAGTAATATAAAGTACAACATTATTATATTCTTTACTTCAAAAAACTCTCGAAATTGCGATTAAATATGATAGTTGCCTAGCAATGTTGATTCACTCTGTTTTAGTAATCCATTTACAACCTGTATATCATTGTGGAGTCCAAAGTTGGCTATTTACCACCGTATATGTGTGTATATATCACTTACAGTGGCGAACCTCGTTCTCACGCCGTAATTGCGCTTAATCTACTTTTCGATAAGAACAGACGGAGATGGATAAATCCCCGGGGATGCCGATTACAGCCTCGGCAACGGCGCCGCAAGATTAATGGCGGCCGAAGCGTCCCAACGCCTGTGGTATCGGCCGTCGTTGTTCTGATTCGACACGCGAAAAATATCTTCGTCCAATTGTTTAATCTGGATGCTTGCTGGTGGATGTATTGAACAATATTTTTTATCTTTAAAAAATAGACTCCTAATTTTTTTGGTTAGCATTCTGCTTTTTTCTGCAGATTCTTTAAGTTCTGGTGAGATACCATTGTTAGGATAGTCTTCATTATTAGCACTTTCTGAAATTTTGGCTCCCTCTCTCTTAGATAAATTTAAAGGACGAACAAGAAATTTAAAGTGAGGTTTGCACGTCAAAACAGAAAAAAAATTGTGCATATTTGAAGTGATACTTTTTACTAACAGGTATTAATTTGAAAGATTTGAAGTTCATAAATAAATTTTAAAAATATTTTTTACGCGTAAAAAATAGTTTTTTACGTGTAACAATTAGTTTTATACACGTAAAAAATAGGTTTATTCTTGTAAAATAAAAAATTAATAAACAATTAAAAATCAATATTTTTTATAAGCACGTTGACAGCCCACAAATACACGTCGCGTCACTATGTATTTCTAAGACGTAGGCTGTCCACTTTTCGTTTCGCCAGCTTGTGTCACGGCCTTGTATTTTTACTCCCAGCACGCGTAAAGAAGTTTCATTTAAAAAAAAATTAGTAACTTTTGGTATACTTTTAACAGTCTTCAAAATAAAATATTCTACCTAGTTTTTGATTAGTGGTTGTGGTCCTATCTAAAACAGCGTAGGAAGAAAAGTATTTTTACTGTCACGAGATTTTTGTTAACATCTCGACATTAATGACTCGACAACACTTTCCTACTCATTATGAAATATACTGTATGTCAGCTCAGGAGCTTGGAAAACCATCCAGAAAAATTCAACTCCTTAAGTTTCCTGTGATGTTCCAAAAATGTACAACTTTGAGAAACACCTCAATGTAGTGGCAATAAAATGAATTGTAAGAGAGAAACATTTGCTCAAAAGTTAAAACCAGACCATAACGTTGTATACTGATGCTGCAAAAAACAAAGCAAGAAGGGGGTTAGGAGTATTTGGGTCGAAAACTAAATACTCCGAACCAATGGGCTTCCAGCCCAGTATCCTTCAGACAGATAGGAACTACCGGAAACAAGAAATAGCCATCTTATCCGATGGTCAAGCAGCCTTACAAACTATCAACTCAGGAACCATCAATTCGAAGTTGGTCTAAGAATGTCTAAAGAAGCTGAACAAATTAGACAAAGAAAATAGTCCTCCTACTCTGGGCGCCAGCCCACCAAGGAATAGAAGGCAATGAAAAATCAAATGATCTAGCTAGAAAAGGAGCGAATACTCCACTAACTGGGCCAGAACCGTTCTGCTTCCCATGTTGAAACCAACTTAAAGGAGAACTCAAGAATCCTCCAGCGGTCTAAAACACTCGAAGAAATTTACGACAGAGAAAAATCTAAAATATTTCTTGACTTAGCAAAGAAAACTTCGGATTGCCACGGGCTTTTTAACAAGACACTGTCTCCTCAATGAACACCTCAGTAGATTGAAGCTAAGAAAAAAAGGCGAATTCAGGTTTTGTGGGGAAAATGAAAAACATCTTATCACTGAATGCGCCGAGATTACCGGCTTCTGTCAAAGTTCCGACTCCGCTACAATCTACATCTACATACTATTTTTTATTGGAACCCTATTTTGCTTATTAAGTAAAATGCGTGTGTAAATCCAACCAAATCTAACGTCTAACTAGGCAAATGTTATAAAGTTACCATAACACATCAAGAGCTTAAGAAACGTAAAGTGTGGTCAAAAAATCGCGCCTGTTTAAAATACCTGGATAACATACACTCTTTAATAAACCATTAAATCTAACAATACGAAATGAAAAAAGTATTTTAATTAAAGCGGGGAATAAAATCATCTCATCATTTTGGAGCCATCCATTTATAATTCGAAAATTAGCACTTTAAAAAGCAATTTCGTCCATCTGCAAGATCGAGACGACACGAGAAATACAATTAGCCAAATCCGCTTCCGACAAATCTTCGTCGTTTCGTCGCGCTCCTTCTAAGTCCCGATGATGATTTTCCCTAATTCGGTTTTATTCGGTATTTGTGCGTACATTTTCCTTTTCGTCCTTTTCTTATTTTTCCTCCTCGCTTTTTACGACCTCATTATCTTTTCGTCGCCGGTTTTACAAATGGGGCGAAGCAGAGAAAAGGACATTAATCCTACTTCGGGGGAACCGGCGTACAGTGGGACGGTTTAGTTTAAAATCAGATACATTGAGAACAGAATTATGTTTAGATTTCTACAATGTAACTTGTAGATCTACTGTGTTCCCCTTTCTTGAGTTATAACTCATCATACAGTCTCAGGGGTTTGGCGAAAGCTAGTATCTGAGATGGTTTTATAGAGGTTAGTTCTCCATTTCCGATATCAGCCGTATCAAAGTTTATGACACGAATGGTTGTCGTCTCGGCGCACTCAGTGTTGAGGTGTTCTGGTGTTTCCACATTTTCCCAACTTGATCTGCATTCGTCGTTGTTTTTTAGATTCAATCTACTGAGGTGTTCTTTGAGAAGAGATCTGTTTCCTGTTAAAAATTCCGTGACTTCCGAAGATTGTTTTACTTATAAGTCAAGGCAAATCTTTCATTTTTCTTTGTCTAAGTTCTGAAACATTTTTTCGAGAGTCCTACACCTTGGAGAATTTCTATTCCAGGTTACTGATGGAGTCCTTCCAGGTTCTTCAGCAGAAAGGTTCTGGTCCAGTTAATGGAATGCTCGCTCTTTTTCTACCTACATCGCATCGTTCAGCTTCTCTAGCCATTCTTTGACCAACTTCGAATACAATTTAACACAGGGATATGGTCAGTTCTGCGCGAACCTCAAGGAGGAGGGGGTGGATGACGTAAAACAGGCAAGAACATGTAAAATAGTCAAATAAACAAGAATAAACAGGTTTAGGCAACCGCTTTAATCAGAAAGTTCTGCGCTAACCTCAAGGAGGAGGGGGTGGATGACGTAAAACAGGTAAGAACATGTAAAGTAGGCACATTATAAGACATAAAGAATAAACAGGTTTAAACAACCGCTTTAATCAGAAAGCAACCGCTAAATGCTTAAAATATCATCCACTTTTTAAAATAAAATCCATCTGTTGTTTTCTTGATTAAACCTGTTTATTCTTGTTTATTAGCGTATTTTACATGTTCGTATCTGTTTTACGTCACCTTCCCCCTAGGCTGGCGCAGAATCAGCCATCTCCGTCTACTAATATAACGTGCAGTTATGATCTTAGGGAAAAAACATAATGAAGCAGTTCATCTATTCGCACTTTTGCAGCGCGTATATACTCGTCTTCTTTAAGACATACTGAAAATGTTATATTGCCATATTGCAATATCTTGCTGAAGAGCCAATTTTTTAAATCAATACTTCAAAAGGATTTGAGTCCTGATATTGACAGTGAATGGTTTTTAAATAGTAGCTATATTCTTAAAGAAGACTTAAACATAAATATGTTTTCTTGCCTCTAAAGGCAATAAAACTATATATTATGTTCAAGTCTTCTTTAAGAATGTAGCCACTATTATATTATTTATATTATAGAAATAATCTATATGTCCCCGAATTGTGTTTACAGGAGGAAAAACTAAGTGCAAATATTTTTAGGGATATAATATTTCGACCCTAGAAACACATCTATGAGTTTTTTTCTATGAATGAAATTATTAAAGATCTAAGTTGGTATGGTACATATTGATGTACCCTGATAATTAAACAGTGTAATAAATACTATAGCTTAAAGTCAAATAAGATTTCGTATTTTAAGTTTTGGCCACGAATTTTGAAAAACTCACCACTGTGCGGCCCCGCGTATTCGTAGAAATTAAAAGCACCCCGAAAATAAAAGCAATTATCGGGAGCAGGGCCGCAAGAAAAACATAATTTAAATGTAAATAGGATTAAGTCGGCAGGAGAATATGTTTTTTTATTCGGATTCGACATCGACTTCTGTAAAAACACCAGCTAGAATATTTGAAACATAAAAATTGTGCTTCAGGAAATGCTGAAAATTAATTTTGACTTTATCAACGTGGTGCATATATTTTATTTTCAGAATGATGATCATCATCGGTTGCCGGGTATCTCGAGTGTCACATTACATTTTAATATCTAACAAATCAATATTTTTCAATTACAGGCAACTACTCGGACTCTCCCTTCATTCAATATATGACACGTAAGTATCTATCTAAGTCTCGTATTTATCTAAGAAAAAATAACCTGTTAAGTGAAATAACCAAAACCTTTAAATAATGCTACATTGGCATTAAAAAATTTCCCAAAGTGTTTCCATATCAAATCTCTTGTTTGCTACTATAGGCCAGTCATTTAAGACATCCCACATCACAAACGGGACTGTATCTACGATTTTTTATATATTGTTAGAACCCATGAGACTAAGTTATGCCCGATTTTGCAACCCTCAAAACCCTGTGCTACTCCCGTGATACTCAAAAAAAATCAAAATTTTGGTACTTATTTCAGTTTTTTTGAAAAAACGATGTTAAAAAAGCAGTTTTCAAATTTGATTGTTCTATACTTTTATAAAGTCAACTAAATTTCCTACAATTTAAGCCCAACCTGAACCCTCTAGGCCAATTCGTTGTTCAAATACAGCCCAATCAAATATCGGCAATTTTTTTGAAAAACTAAAAATTTATTAGTACGGTCACATTCCAAAGCACGTATCGGCTAAACTAATGGCTCTAGAGAAAAGTCATACGAAATAGAGTTGTAGAGAATTTATTTAGCTTTAATTTGATGTAAGAATGAGGCCGCTAGGCGTCGTATTTTGCTCAAAAACCAACAACAAACAACATTAATATAAATACAAAAATAAACAACATTAATATAATACGTATAAACTATAAAATATAATACAAAAGCTTTACTTTACTTGGCCCTCTTAGAAGGACCGGGCCCCATCCATTTCGGATCAGTCGGAGAGGGGGGAGGAAGAGGAGGAAGGACATTCTCTGACGATGGAAGTGGGTCCTCATATGTTAAATCGTCCAATTCCTTGTCCTACTCATCCAACTACAAAAGCCATCACGTCGACAAAAAAAATTGGATTCTCGGGTTAATTGAATTTAATAACAGAAGTTATAACAGCATTAACAGCATTATATGTCAAATTTTTCAAGCATATCCTTCAAATCCTTCAATTTAATAGCTGTCTTACTAACAGTAGCTTCACTTGAAATATGCGCAGATAGTTCACATACTGTTTTTTAAATAACTGTTAACTGAAATCGTGATTTTTTAGTCAGTGATTTTTAACAGTGAGGTGATCATTCATACTGTTCCATGGCTATAGCTAAAGCAGGATATCGTGACAACTGATACTGTGATTTTTAATATCTGTGATTTAAAAACTAACGCAAACCAAAAACTATGATCACGACTTTTTATCTGTTCCATGGCTTTAGCATCTATACAATGCAGGCTATCTTGACAACCAATAACCGTTTTGTACGATTTTTCGTAACAGTTACATTACGTGCTTTTTTAATTGCAGTTATCCAATCACAGTTTCTGATATGTCGCTCATCACTAGTTGGCCTACATTTTTCATCCCCTAAAAACTACACCGTATACAGGGTTATTCACCACATACGACACGGAGTATTGTAGCTAAAAGATTAGATTTTTACAAATTTTAAGTTATGGTTTCGTTCAATGACTATTAGAGCTACAATTTAAAAATAATTTTCCAAGATACAGAGTGTCGCAAATAAGTAAAAAATATTATAATTGTATTTTTTTTAAATGGAACACTCTGTATATTATTGCATTTTTAGATTCTACGATTGAAATGAAGGTAAATTTGATTAAACACTTAAACCTTACCGTTTTTTAAATATTTTCAATTTTGTGAAAGTGCAGTAAAAAAATTAAGGCTTCATTTCTCTTCATTTCTTTTTATTACTAAATATTTACTGCAGATTATTTATTTATCAGATATTGTGTTTCAATAATAAAAAATATACTACCTTATACGGAGTGTCCAAAAATTTATATTAAATAATTACTAGCTTTAAACGGCAGTAACTTGTTTAATTTAAATAGAACACCCTGTATATTTTACGTGAATCAGATGCACAATTTAATTGTCTATCAAATTGTATTATACCATTTTTACCTACCTCTTTAAGTTTTCGTAGTTTTTTTTTCGTTCTTTAATCCATTTTCTCATAATTTAGACCTCATTTATCACTATACCCATGGAATATTGACATTTTAGATTTTTTTAAAGCAACATATAATATGTACAAAATGTACAGGTGGTAAAAGTAATAATATTGCAAGCCCATTTTTTAGAAAAAGAAAACTATTTAAATCTTTGTAAAAGAGTGTACCAATTAAATATACCACCAGTATTTCCGCCCAAAAAGTAGTTAATTACATATTTAATTGTTTTCATTATTCTAAATAAATGCAGATTTTACTTAGAAATCAATATAATAATAAGTTATTAGAATGAACGTCTTTGTTGTTATAAATAAGCATTCGTCAAAAAATGAAATAGAATTTATGTTACTTTTTACCACACTGTCTAATACACATACAAAATTCAGTTTTTTAGTATTTGGAGCAATTATTATTAATCAACGTAAACAGTCAATTAATGTAGTTTGAACACTGAGATCATATTAATTAATTGGATCATATTAATAAATAAACAAAAAATATTTAAACAGTTTTTTTTATTTTTAATAAAATAAGGGAACTATATCGACAATATTTAGTATCTGAATTCTTTAAAAATTTGTTACATTTAAAAATAATCCAAAATGTCAATATTCCATGGGTATAGTGATAATTGACGTCTAAATTATAAGAAAATGCATTTTCTACGAAAACTTGAAGAGGTAGGTAAAAATGATATAATACAATTTGATAGACAATTAAATTATGCATCTGATTCTCGTAAAATATACAGAGCGTTCCATTTAAATTAAAGAAATTATTGCCGTTTAAAGTAGTAATTATTTAATATACATTTTTGGACACTTTATATAAGGTAGTACAATTTTTATTATTGCAACACAATATCTGATCAATAAATAATGTTCAGTAAATATTTAGTATTAAAAACTTTGATACCCTTGTAGAAATGGAGCGATAAAACTACAATTTGAAGAAATTGAAAATATTTCAAAAACGGTAAGGTTTAAGTGTGATAAACCTTAATCAAATTTACCTTTATTTCAATCATAAAATCTAAAAATAGAATAATATACAGGGTGTTCCACTTAAAAAAATTCAACTTTGATACTTTTTGTTTATTTGGGACACTTTGTATCTTGTAAAAATATTTTTAAATTGTAGTTCTAACAGTCCTTCAATGAACCCAAAACTTACAATTTGTAAAAATCTAATCGTTTAGCTACAATACTCCGTGTCGTATGTGGTGAACAACCCTGTATATATATATATATATATATATATATATATATATATATATATATATATATATATATATATATATATATATATATATATATATATATACTTGTACTTTAAAAACAAACATAAAATCTTGCAGAAAACAACAGGGCGCACATACGTTCCCTTCTCTTTTTTTCCTCATTTTTTACATCGAAAAACTCTTCCCGCAACTTTATACTATCTGCTTCGAGCTTAGGTTAAAAGAGTTTTCTTGTAAAGTTCCTTAGTAAAAACTTCCGCCCTGTTACCTAGGGGCTAATATGTCCTATCTCGCAAGTCGAAAAATGAAAAAGTTCTTCCGTGTGCGCCTAGAGCAAACAGAATTTGTTCGTATACGAGTGTATTTTTTTCTTTTAAAACCAGGTTTCGATCGTAGAAAATGGCTGGCTTTAAATGGCTTAGTTGTGTACGTTGGGGTTATTAATTTTTTGTAGTTTACAAAACTAGGTTAAAAGAAATATACAGGAAAAGTACGGTCATATTAAGAAGCCCTTTTTTGATGCGTTTTTTGCGTAAAAATGCATTATAAGCAACTCGTTAAAACTGTTCTTTTTCAACCAATGTAATTTATTAAAAAGCTGTATAATTTAAGCTACTAAAAAAATCGAACTAAACGTTAATGAAACTGTAAAAGTGAATGAATCTGATCTGATCTAACAGCCTCTACACTATCCCCGAAATGTTTTACGAAATATTTCTGGAAATATTTCGTTAAACATTTCTGGAAAAAGTTTCAAAAGTAAACTCAAATAATATAAGCTCGTGTTATAAAAATTAGTTCCCACGTTTCCTGAAATTGATCGAGACGCGCCGTGATTGGTTGTTTGTTTTAAAAATAAAAAACAAACAACCAATCACAGCGTGCGTCTTGATCAATTTCAGGAAACGTGGGAACTAATTTTTATAACACGGGCTTATTTTTATCGTACTATTTTGTGAAATAGCACGAAGCAATCAAGGTCAAGCGTTGTGGTGGCTTCAGAAAAATAAGTAAACATGGAGTATAAATAAATATCATTAATTTGTAATGGAGTGTAATGTAATACCACTATATTAAACTGATATGAAAAATCAAAAATAGTGCATTTAGAAAACAGTTAGCGATGGTAGATTAAATTGGCTATTCCTCTAAAGTTACACAAGAGTATTTAGTTTTAATCATTGTCTAATATTATTTATTCCAATATGGTAAAAAATATATTTCCAAAACTTAAAATCGTAAAACTGCAGGGCAATACGCAGTGACTAACTGTTCTGGCGGTCCGTCTTTTATAGGTTTTAATCCACTGTGTTAAACTATTTAAAAAAAAACCGTCTAATTATTTCTTATTTTTAAATGGATTTATATCAGACCATGTTATGATTATATGTAAAAGTATCTTTTATTGACTTCGGGTCAATCAATAATTTTTCCAATCAGTTCGATATATTGATGGTGTTGCCAGTATTACTAATCAAACAATACTACTATTATATTAATCAATTAAGGCCGCATAAAAAACATAACATATACAATTTTATAAAAATAAATAAATATCTACTATACATATTATAAACGCGTGTTCAAATATTAATTTTGTGGAATATATATCAACACAAAACGAGATGTAAATAACAAAATATCATCGTAACAACAGCTATTTTAGAAACATCTAGGTTTACTTATTTCACTGAGATTTATGAAAAAAAGTCTTTTGCCTCGGGTACGGATACCGCCACGTTTTG